AACACATCCATTATGACAGGAAGTTCACCTGCAGCAAAACTACAAATTCCTAGCCTATCTGTGCTGCACGTTGTTCAAGACCCAGTATCAGATTCTCTACAAGAAGCTCCAGCATTAGGTATTTCAGGTCAGTCATACCAGGAGACATGAGCTCAGAGAATGCACTTAAATGCACTTTGATCCACTTTTCTCTTTTTCTCTCTTTCCTTTTATCCATGTATAGTATTCTAAACAGGCTTTGCCAAAATATGAAGTACTTTGCATGTCTTTTGTGTTTGACTGGTCTTCTTAGATTAAAATAAAAGCTTAATGAAAGTCGACAAAGAACAGCCTGTAACATTTTAAAAGATATGTTCAAACATTAAGTGATTCATCCTCACTGGCTCATTAAGAAGAGGAAATTGCTGCAGAATTCAGTGTTAAAACCACTCAAAGAGTAGATGACAGATCCAGGATCAGTTCTTATAAATTACTGTCTCTCACCCTCACTCTCAGTCCCAGCCCTGCAATAAACCTCTGTGGGAAAGTTTCCTGGGTCGGCTCGGAGCCATCACGTACTCAGAATAGGCTGTCACAAGTTGAGAAATATGCTCGTCCTTTCTTCTTAGCATTTCACCAAAGTCTCAGCCCTTTCAAACACCAGGCTTATGATTTCAATAATCCACCATGGTAAAAGTCATTTGTGGAATTAGATATATTGCTAGCTATTGAAGTATTTTCTATTACCTATTAGTACACTGTGGAGCACATCAATACAGAGCCCAGATATTACAGCAAGGAACACCCTGGAAATGCCTAAGCAGACTGATCAATTTAATCTCTGTTGCAATACAGTGCATTAGTGGGATGGGTATTTTTTTTTCTTTTTCTTGGCACAGCTTAGGGAGTTCAGAATTAGGACAAATATTATCTTTCCTCCTCAACAAATGCTTAACAAATGACAAAAGTGACAGCTTTGAAAGATTGATTTTTTAAAAGTGAGGTTCTGTATGGTAGCTTATGAAAGCACTTCAATTTAGGATGATTATTAATCAACCATCCGTTCAGATAATTTTCTAATTTAAGGGAAAAAATCTATATTCTGTCTCTTACATCCCCATCAGGTACTAAAGTATGAATGTCTGCACTTATTAGCAAATACAAATAAGAGGACATTATCTGATGCAGAGAGACAGAGATAATGCTGAGATGCAATACCTGACAGAAGATGTTCTGGATTTTAGTACAGAAGAGTTATAATCTGAACTTTTAATATTTTATTATATTGCAGTCATAAATACCATATATGTATGAAAATAGTAAACCTATTCTGACAAACTGGAAAATAACTGCATGCTCTGGATGCTCTCTCTGCTTAGTTCTACATAGAACAGAGACTTAATTTCTTATTAAAAAAACATGAGGTAATAAAATAGCAAGTGCAACTAAGGACAAAAAGATAAGAGTACAATACAAACAGCAGAACTGGCAAATAAAATTTTAAACCTGAAGAATTAAAACATATTTTGACTGACACATTTATAAGCCTGTCCTTATACTGATTTATTGTTGTGTGGTCTATCTACTTTGTTTGCCCAGCATGAATACTGTGAAAATTGGAAATATAATGTGAATATTTATCACCACAGCATCATTCTGAAACAACCCAAAGCACTCAAGTAGTATGCAAATACCATAAATTAGTTTCCTAAACAAAGTGCATTTAAAACTCAATCCAGAGGAGTTATGTGCCTAAATCGGATGAGGACAGAAAAGTATCTACAAAGCAGGTCTTCAGTTTCCTGGCCAACTTTTCCAGCTGACTGACTGCCAAGGCAAAGAGGAATGTTACCCTTACCGCAGCCATGCTTAGCAGAATAAAACCCGACTTAAAAATAATAGTTGCATGTCTGGGGGACTGTTCTCCTTGAATTGCATAGGAAGTTTCAGAAGGAAAACCAAAATAAATATACAACTCCAACAAAATATTCTTGGAGGCAGACACTATTGACTTGGAGGCTACATAATTTTTAGAAGTGACTCATAATCCTTTCTAAATGGACCTTGGAATCACGTCTGGTTGAAAAAACCAAGTTTATTGTGACATATATATACATAGGCATAATTTATGAAGGAAGACATGCAAACACAATTGTAACACAAAATACGTGGCAAGGGAGTCATTTACTAGTCTTTCATACAAAATACAAATTTATTACTAAATGTCTATGCCTAAAACTCAGTATGTAGTACATCATATTTTAAATTATTAACATCTCTGCTGGAGAAGCTTCCTTCATAAAATATTTACACAGCACGTCTCAGGACTCTGTATTTTGCCAGCAGTTACTCAAAGTGTAAGATAAATATAGTTAGCAGGTCATTCTTTCCCTTGATAAGCTATTCTTTTCACTAAAAAAACCACCCAAAGGTTCAAGCTATGCTACTGCTATGGCCTTTGTTATGAAATACTGCACTCCAATATAATGATATATTTTGACCTCTGAGAGCGGTCAGGGTCAGGGGGCATCACTTTTGCTAATGACAGGGCATGGCTGTAAAATGCAAGAGGCAGGCATGTTCCAATTACTTTTCCAATTAGCAGCAACAATCAATGCAGCTGCAAAAAGCCTTAAGGAAACTGGCAAAATGTTGCAAAGTATGGATATGACTCTCCTTTAAGGAACAAGCTCAAGAACAATAAAAGTATTAGTAGTCCCTTGATTATTTTTTCAATACTACAAGAGCATTCTAAGTCTTTCTTTCAAACCAGGCAGTCTGGTAGTGTCGCCTTTTCAAAATCCAGATAACTCTTCAAAGCAAACAAGAATGACATAACTTATTCTTTTCTAACCTAGGCAGGAAGAAACCTTCATGGTCATTTTGCTAGAGAAAAGAAATAGAATTTATGATGCAAACTTCAAATATATTGGATTTTTATTTAAAACTAAAAAATAATTATGCTCTAATTTTTCAGAGTGTATAAATATCCTGTTCAATGGAACAAAAGAGTCTCCAGCATTTCAAACTCTTGGCAAACAGTTGCCTGGGCTACTAAAAATCTTCTCAACACAGTATGTGAATTCTCTTGGCATTTGTACATTCAGTTTGTCAATGTCAACAAAATTTTAAAGAAGATGTAAGAAACCAGAAAAGCAGAACTGTAGACTCAAATGGATTTTTTTAAAAAATAGACCCAACTGTAGACACTCTCATTTTGAAATATATAACATTTTACTGTTACCAAACATTGGGCAACATAATTTTAAAATGCATTTGAACCATTTTCTTCATCTTTAGGATGTGCATTTAAACTACTTGGATCAGTTTTGTAGTAAGGTTAATTGAAATACAGAAAAATCATGATGAAATAGCATTAATTTTAAACTTCACAGTATATGAACATCACTTTCTACTGTGGGCAATGTATTCAACAGCAATATCCTTCACATCCCAAACTCATGGCAGCACAGAAGAGAGAATTCTGTCATCATTCCACTTCATTTTTGTTTTAAATGATGTAAAAGGGATATCTTTTTAGTGAAAAAAATTACAGACCATATAAGAAATTAAAATTAGCTTCATGGCCCTTACTACACAGAAATTATTAGCAATAATAAAAAGGAAATATTTTTTAACATATTTGTGGAGAAAGAATGTTGTCAACTGAATAGCAAATAAGGAGATTATGGAAGAGCAAACATCTACATGACTTTTTTTCAAATTTGCAAGAGGAGATTACTTGTGGTTTACAATTTCTAAGGGATGGTCTGGAGGTTTTCTCTGGATAAGTATTTTGGAGTGTAATATCTACTGTAATACAGTAGAAACTTAAAAATCTATAAAAAACACAATGTGTCAACATTTCAAGGAAATAAATGGAATCATCTCAACATGCCTTCATTGTAGGGAAAATTTGTGAAAATAATGTTAAAAGAGGCAATCAGTTGGATTGAGTGGTAGCATGATTAATACCAATCAACACTGTTTAATAGAAAACAGGTCTTCTTGGGAAATTTCATACCATTTTGTGATGATATTACAAATTCAGTAGATAAAGATAACTTTTGAAAATACTTGCTTTAATTTCTGTATAAATATCTTTCCCTATTATCTCTCTGATGAAAAAGTAGCATGGCACAAAAATCAGCATAGCTCACATATTAAACATGTTAAAGAACACTGAGAATCTGAAAAACAATTTGTAAATAAGGAACCAACAACTAATGGGAATATCATTGGTGACATTGTAAAGACATGCATTATGAAGAGTCAACAGGACTGAACAGCAAACTCAAGATATGTATGAAAACCTGCATACTTCAGAACAAAATTCTGAGCACAAGTGATAACTAAAAATATCTTAGCAGTTCTAATAAACAACCAATAGGAAAAGGATTCTTATACAGTGACTCTGAGAGCTTGCATATTCTTGTACCTGGATGTGCAATGTAGGAACAGAAAAGTCACATCTATCTGCATGTGACATTGATAATACTAAAAGAAAGCAATTTGTAATTTCTGTCACCACACTTTTAACTGAATGTCTATTAGAAGAACAGAATATACCATAAGGATGACAAATCTTCGAAATAATTTACAGAATATGCAGTTATTTTTTCTCTCATCTGAAACACTACATTAAAATTATATGGATTAGAAATACCACATTGAACAAGGAAAAGAGGAACTGATTAAGAAAATTCAGACCAGCAAACCGATTTTTGCACAAGGAATTCATTTTTGCACAGAGTAAAATATCGTTTCAATGTCGATAATACTTTTGTAGTTCACAGGAGGTGTGGGGCTGAAATAAATTTTAATACTCTTTGTAAAATTATTTCAATGCAAAAAATAAGAGAATAAATACATGTTCTCCCTTATTTACTGATTCTATGTCCTGCATTTCAATATTATTCATTAGCTTTATAATAATTAGCTTTATAATGTTTCAAATGAGAGTATTTCAAATTATGGTTCAAACCACCATACTACCACATTACCAGGGACCAACACAGCCTGCAGTCTCAATGAGAGACTGAAACCCAAATTGTAAACAAGATTATAACAATAGGTACAAGCCTGGATCAGCTCTGTGAAGCAGTGAGTAAAGCAATATGTACCCTTCACTTTCACTTTCAGAAAATCACCTGGTTCAGACCAGTCCCAGAGTTCCCAGCTACAACAGATAAATACTAATATAGAATTTCTGGAGCCAAAAAGACACTTGACTGTGCAAGTACCCACTTTATTTACTTCACTTATGAATCAACCAAGAGCAGTAGTAAGGTAAGGGTTAATTCTTTTTGCTGAAAGATTTGCTAATAGTTGTGGAATTTGCATGATAATACCCACTCATTACAAAAAGTAATATATGTATTATTTTAGACCAACAACTCCAGAAAGGAAGACTTTTAAAAAAATAAATGAAAATGTTTTGTTCTCTATGCCTTGTAATTGCTTTCCTCAGCATGTATGTGTTTGGCTGCGTGTTTGTACACACACAATTAGGTCTGTGCAACTGCAGCAGCACTGCAGAGTTCCCTCTAGAATGAGAACTCTCTAGCTGACATGAGGCAGATCTCTAGCTCTATTCCATTTTGTATGGACAGCAGTAAATTGAAATTGTCTAGTGTGGCAGACTCTCAGCAAGCCAAACTGCTTAGGCTGTCACCCCCCTTGAACTTCCCTCTTCAGGTGAGAATGCTGGGGAGAGGAAAGGAGGAAGGAGAGCATCCCATGGTCTTGGCTGTCACAGAGACACAGGATTACAGCTGGTCCCAAGCACATTTTACCTGTTTTTTACTGACTGCAATCTTAGAAAAATAAAGATGACCCACAGATAGAAAGAAATAACTTCTTGAACTTGACCACAGAATCTTCTCCATGACTTTACTAAAAATTGTGTCTTGCACATGAAGGTGGCATTGTAATTGAAGAACACAAAGAATTAGAGAAAGGTCCCTCAGATGCTAAGCAAAAGCTACTCCAGCAAATAGAGCAGAGTACCCTTTCTTAAAATTATGCACTATACATTTCCATTTTTGTGATTTCAGGGATATGGTGAGTATATTATCTCCACCTTTCTGCTTCCATTTCTCATATACAGACCATGTCAGCATAAGCATAAAGGATGAAAGGTAGACTAAAACAGGCTTCCATATGGCAATGCACTGACCTCTGAGACACCACTCCGGATTCACACTTGCAAATAGGTCTAAAGAATTCCCCCTTTGAAGAGCAGATAGAGCAGCCCCTCTCTGCAAATTACTGAGCTGGGAAAGTCGAGCATTCAAGCACTGCAGTATTTCATGCTACATGATAGAGGAATTGCTCAAATTTTAAGACATTACCAACAACTATCAGTTTCACAATAGCAGAAAATTAAAGTTGAAATATTGCAAAAAAAACCCCACCAAACCTAAACATTTTTTTAAAATCTCTTTTATGTGATGACTGAGAATCTTAAAGAGAAATTATATTTGTCACACATGCCCTAGGTCTGCATTGCACTTGTGCTTTCCAAAGCTCTTAAATTACTAAACAGAAAACAGGTGTTTTAGTTCTTATGGTACATCTGTCAAATTCATGCCACATTGTTTTTTTCCCCATTGAATTTAAGCACTAATGTAAATATGATAACTGTTAGTTCAGTGATAAAAAATAAGATAGTGGTACAGGTGTTGCAATGGGCTTAGTCAGTGTTCTTGGCTAACACTCACTATATTATAACTAATTAATTACTGTAACAGATCACTCTCTTTGTACCTTTTTATAATAACTTCTCCTTACCAAAAATTAAACCTTCCATTATATAAACTAAACATTATGATAAATAAGCAGACATACCACGTCATTTCACCTACTGTTGCAACAACAAGTAATAAATGATTCTGTCTCATGGCTCTTGGATTGAGTGAGAGAAGGTGCACTAGAGGCTGCTTTTAAAGTTTTTTCCATGGTTTTATACACTGATCTAGCTTTATTTTATTTTTAAGGTCAAGGGGTGCTATTAAATCACTTGACAAATGGCATAACATATGTTCAGAGGAAAGAAGCAGAAAACCTAGGAAGACATTACAAAGTTGCACATTGCATTAGAAAGTACACGAAACAGTAGGAATACCATAAAGTTACCACACAATAGACTTCAGTAAACCTATTAATTAGAACACTGTGGACATGATGATGAAGGGATAAAAAGATAAATTATGTTCTTGTTAGAAGAACCCCTATGTTTATCCACTAGCATGTACAATTAGCATTTAAAATTGCTGATGCAGAAAGTGGTACAATTTTTCATTGCTGCCACTTCTGGGAAAGGTGCAGTTACGTATTTTCAGGCAAAATAATAGGCACAGAGGTGATGTGCAAAGCTTGCCACCTGCACAACTGTTTAGCACCCCAGGCTTGCCAATCAACTGCAGCAGCACCGACAGTGAGCTCAGAGGAGACTTTCACTTTGAACTCATCAAGAGGATAAAGGTGTTGGCATGGCCAAGTGGGAAGGAATTAAATTTTCTTTAAACCACCTGCAAAGGCTAACTCAGAGCAAAGATTTGTTTCCTGACTGACTGGTGCCCCTGAGCATGAATTTTAGATGTTGGTAAAAGAAATAAAAGCTAACTTCCAGCAATTAAATTCACAGAGCTTTCTGTGGTTATAAAATCACCAACATGAAGTGAATAGCAATGCTGGGGGAGAGCAGAGGCTGTTACTCTCCTAATGAAAGTCCTCTGTCTGGGGTTTCCATCTCAACTTCCATTTAGTTGCTGCAGCTTTAGCATGCCTATGTAATAGGCAGTTTTGCTTCTTCCTGCCAATAGTCTGCCATGGTAAATAGGAAAAATGTTCTCAAAGCTGCACAGCCTGATCACACATTTTATATCTGAGAAATTAGATCAGTTTATGAGCAGAATATAACAGTTCTGTTATCCAAGTCTCACAATTTAATCCTTACTCTTATGACATTTATGTATTTTCCCAAAGTGCCAAGTGATGGAAGTTACACATCCCTTGCATTTTTAATCTAGTTGCCTAAGAAAAGGAAGTTTTTATGATCATGCTGGTCTGCATTTAAAACTATTAATATCTTTCCAACTACAGCCTGAATTAAGATAGAATTAGGGATAAAAGTATCAAAAATAATTAAGTTCCTTAAAGTTTTGTACAAATCACTGTCTGGATCAGGGACAGAAACTGAAATTGCTGGCCCCTCCACTGGGACTGTGGTCATAACTCAGCCCTAAGACAGTGCTGTGAAGCTGCCAGTTGGTTGACCAACATTCTTATCCTGGCTACTCAATTGTGTAGCTTCAGACTTGCTGAACTTTTGTACACTGGTGCCTTTTTTTCAGGTCAGAGTGCAATAGGAAGGTACCTTTCTGGAAACAAAGAGTTTAGAAAATACAGGACAAAAATCTGTAGGACATAAGACTTTCAGTTCTGCTTCTCAAAGAAATAATTTTTGCTCCTTTAAAGCAAGACCTACTCACATGACTGATGCAGAAAAGCCTGCAAACACAAGCCACTAAATCTCTAAAGGCTGAAAAATCAATAACATGTATCTAAAGAATAGAAAAATTTCAATCTCAAGACTTCTTTAAGCACCCTCATGATCTTGGAATGGCAAGCATCAACATGATATAAGAAGTTACATCAAAAAGATGACAGTGCCAAATCCTTGTTTAAAAGTGGAACGTATCTCAGATGCCATGCTCAGAGAAATACAGAAGGGGAATTTCCCCACAGAGAATATAAACAAGGAATTGAGAATGGGGTCTGAATTGCCCCCATTTACTGTGCCTTGATCCACTGGGAAGCACATCAGGAATCAGAAACCTGCTTTACTGCTCAGAACAGATGGGACGTGGACTTGCATTGCTTACACACAACCTTTGGATAGAATTATTTTGTAATTTTCATGATTCTGTGCCTGAGAATCTTACAGGACATCTGCGGAAAGAATGAACCTCCCTAGACTCATGTTTAACTGTTCCATAGAAAAACTCACATCTGCACAGAAGAGCTGAAGCTATTGAGGGGTTAATAGAAAGAAGAGACTAAAGCATTACTTTAAAATGTTTCATTCCACCTAATTTTAAAGTTTGCATGCTGATATAATACTGCCATTACCATATTAAATCTGAACTCTTCACAGCTACTGATACATCATCATAAATAATTGAATCCAAGCCTATTGGTTGCTAAAGCAGAAAAATAAATCCATGATAGAAACCGACTCTTTTTTTTGCTAATGTATTTTAAAAAAATTAAAAATACCAGATGGTTTTTAATTCAGGCAAAAAGATTAAAAGCTCCCAAAGTCACTTCTTCTCCTCCACTAATTCTGATCTTTCCTATTCTGTTCATCTATTTTCTGCAAGCTTTAATCCAATGGGCAAATAAACTGCCCCCTGCATTAACCTGCAATCTAGCTATTACCTACTTAGTAGCGTGTCACAAAAAACAAGATCCCTCTAAAATTGCAGGAAGTCATTCTGCTCAATGGAACACCAGAGGTACTTTCGTAGCCCCTCTCTGCCCTCACATTGACACATTCAGAGTATTTACACTCCTCTCCTGAGCTAACCCTTTTTTTTACTGCCTCGAGATAAGGAGAGCATGATGCAGAAGCACAAACATAGCCATTCCAGTTCCTTAGCAGGCTGGTCTCAATGGAGGAGAAAACAGGCTTTTAGGGAAGCAAAATTCTTTCTCTACTGAGTAAACAGCTGAGGAAGACTAACTTCTGTGTAGTATTCAATACTGAAAGTCAAGGATGAAGAATTGCCCCATGTGTTACAATGAAGCTCTGATTACCTTTCTAATCAGCATGGTAAGCACGCACTTCTGTGCACAGATCACATTTCTGCTGCATAAAGGCTCCCCCTTCAAAAACACAAAATATCCTGTTCTGTAGCCTGGTTTGACTCTGTCAGAAATACAAGGTGTAAAAATATAAATATGAGAGGCTGCAACTTTCGCATCTTCTTTTAAAGGATAATCATTTTAGGCTTGAATAAAGTAGCATGCAAAGCTCTAGTGAAGTGATTTAGGTATGGTTACTTCCACTTAAAACTGAGATATAACTGAGGGACATCCCTGCACTAAAATTAGTAGCCGTGCTCTGGTACAAAATATTATCACTTAAACAGTCACAGGAAAACACTACTCAGTAATTTCAACTATGGACCAGGAAGAACTTCATACAGACAAATACAGTGAACAAAAGACAGGTATAGGAGAAGGAGAACAAAAATAAATAACTCAAAATATAAATATCTGGG